GGAATAAAACCAAGGATGAATCCCACTGCTGCATCATCAACTACCAGAGCTTGTTTACAGGAGTAGAAATGGCCAAGTCATTTAGGGTGTCCCTGCTACCCCCTGGCAAGGGCAGCACGTATCCAAAATCTTATATGGGAGAGTGCACATGAACCACCTTTCGCTTTTACATTCCCAGATGTTCCTGTGCAGGCAGCTGCCTCTCCTGCAAACCAGGGAAAATTACAGGCTGGAAGTAATGGGTTTTCAGGTCAAAATTCAGACTGAAAGTGAGATCGGAGCTTCTGGTAACTGGGAACATTATCCAGCACCTAAATCAAGGATCTGTGCCCAAAATCAAGATGATGGGCCTTGCCTGCCTGGGACTGCCTGGCGACTGTGCTGGGGAGGAAGGCAAGCAGCCCAGAAAACCCTTGGGGAGGCTGCAGTCTGTAGAACCCAAGGATTTCTGCCCAGCCTCAGAGAGAAAGCAGGTGACTTGGGCTCATGCATGCCCTTGGAAACTGTCCCATTGTCAAGCTGGTTGATTCTGCAATGACATTTTACCTTGTTCTCATTTTGCACAGCCCAAGGGATGGGAAAGCCCATACAGAACGTCAGGAGTGGCACAAGGACCATCCTTCTGCCCTGCTCACTCTGGGGACAGTCTGGTCTGCACACCTCCAGGTCCTGCCTGCTCAGCCCCTGGCTTTGCTGTAGCTGTGCTTGTTGCCTTAGGTGCTCATATGTAGTGATGGAGATGTTTTTGGGTACACCACGCCTACAGCCATCGTACTGGAGTATGCCACTGCACTGGGACAGTGCTGATGATATACCCCAGTGACTCAAGGAAGGGCAGAGACTGGGCTGTGCCTGCATGGTGTATCCCAATTAAACATACCATTCAAGTCTGGGCAAATTGAGAAACGTTTCCTTTCCTCCAATGGCTCAGCAGTGCCAAAATGGAGTTCAGGTGATGCCACCGCTGAGTCAAGCCATGCTCTGTGATGAGGCTCAGCCCCCATCCCATGTGACTCAGCACAGCCCAGCTGGGGCAAGCCAGTAGGAGGGACTGGGAAGTTGCAAAAAGTTAATGACGATTATTCCTTTTTGGAGCACTCAGCTTAATGAAGCATTACTCAGTGGCTTCTCCACCCACCCCCCAAGTAGGAGCTGCTGGGGCTGGTATCAGCCTCCTCTCGCATCCATGACGGGGCTTTCAGTCAGGATGACTCAGGTCACCCCATGCATTGTCCAAGCATCACACCACAGCAGTCCAGCTAGTGTCCCTGAGGCCACTTGGCAGGTGCAATGACCCAGGAAAGACACATGAGGCCTGTGCCACTGTCACACAGTGGCCAGGCAAATGTGAAGCAAGCTCTCAAGCCCTAGCCAAAGGCAGGGACAAGGACAAAAAGAAGGCAGGAAAAACAATTACCAGAAGCCAAAATGTCTGCTTGGTGTGATATGCTCTCATGTCAAAAATGCTTTGTGCTCTGAAGCAAAGTGAAGGGTTGAATTTTGATATTTCTCCATTAAGTTGTAGCTTCTAAGAAATATATTCATTTTGTAGCTGTTGTTCTTTATGTCAGCTTCATTGTCACTCTATTGCTATTTGCTTTTTTTAAAAAAGTAATTAAATTGCTTTTTCTGGACTATTTGTTATGATTAACATTTCCTTTCTTTTTAATAACTTTCTCATTTATTTTGCACTCATTTTCTTTCAGCTAAGTTTGGGGTTCTGCTCTAGGACTAACACAGCAAGGTTGAGTGTGGCATGGTGTCATTTCAGGTCCAAACAGAGCACTGAGGTTTGCTCAGGATGGACCTTCATAGAAACAAAGCCATTCCACCAAACAAAGCACTTTGAACTCGAGCACTTCTTTCAAGTCAGAGGGGTTTTCATTTGGATCAAACAAACCCTTTTAAGGCAGGGAAAATTCGGTAGACTCCTATCTGTCCCTCCCCTGAAATGCAGTCAGTCAGGCTTTGTTTTCATTGTTATCTCTTCCAGGCTCTGTCCTCTTGTGTACTCTTGGACCAGCATCACCTCAAGTATGGGAGATGCTGAACAGAGAAATAAAATAGAGAGTCTTTGCTCTGCAAAGTGCTGAAAAAGTCAAATACTTCCTGGGATTTATTTTTTTTGCTCTTCCTTCCCTCCCTCTCTCCCCCAGTTTTTATTTAAAATCTGTAAAACCAGTTCCCCATTCCTTACATCTGCGTGTACTGCTGGGACTGAGTATTAGCATCTCTGTTGTACTTGTTTCCTGCCTAAAAATTATGAACCACTCAATTTGTATATTTATAGTTTGAAATAATGTCAAAAGAAGGTACAGGCACTTTTCTCCTCTGCATACAAATGTACAGGGTTTTTTTGGAAGGACTTGCCAAGAATTAAGAACTTAGTATTAACTGTATTTCACAAAAACATCATGAGTTAGAAAAATAATTTGTGTCTGCACTGCTGGTGAGTAGGTAGTGATGGTAAACTCAGGCATGCACTGTGAGTAAAGACTTTCAGCTGATGGGATGGGTCTTCCAACCATTTACTGTGGCAGCGAGGTCCCTTTTTTATTAAAAAAAAAACCAAACAAAAAACTCCTGGTAGAATAACTCCTTTGCTGCTTTTCATTTGTTTGAAACACTGTAGCAGTTCTCTTCTGAGTTTGTTTAAATGATGATATATCAGGCTTAATTCTGCTCATATCTTTCTTTCCCAGGTTGTTCAGGGTTTCGTTGTTGGAAAACTTGCTAAGCACTGCACAGAGATGACCCTGCTCAGACTCAGTGTCTTCGTCTTTGCCAACGTGGGCCTAGGCATGGTAAGGAGGGTGGAAAATCATCCATGATGCTTTTTAATAATGCAACGACATAAGCTCTGTGAGACCTGGCTGCAAGCTGTGCCCCTTGAAATGCCACCACTAGCTTTGCTGGGTGGTCCTCAGGGCAGGGGAAACTAGCTCTCCTGGGCCTCTGTGCAAACACTGCTGCACTCAACGTAAGCATTGCGCCAAACCATGATAAAGAGCTGCGTGAGTAATAGTTACAGGGATTAAAAAATATATTAATCTTACACAGAAACTCTCTAAGTCCCTCCTGAGTCACCTGGATTTGCATAGAAATCCTGCCCTGGTCTTGTCAGTGATTGCATTTCCTGAACTACCCAGAAAGTAAATTAAGATTATGGGGGGAAAAATCCTTGCAGTTGTACACTGCTGTGAGACAGAAGAGATTGTGTGCTCTTCTTCTGGGGCTTCATTTTTGCCCAATCCCCCAAACTGAGAGTATTTGGGAAAGGAGGTAGCAAGGCAACCATGTTGTGCCTCCATTTTGGGATAAGTGATGTTACCCGTTGCTGGTTGTGTCTGCATGGGCAACAGTTGATGCCAATCTCAAACAGTAATTGGAAAACTGAGTTGATGTAGGCAGCTCTGCTGGTAACTGTGTTTGCTCAGATAAGCCACATTCAGGGAACTGATAGTTCTGCCCAGGCCACAGGGATGGGGGAAGGGTGCACACCTGCTCCCATCAGTGAGATGGGCCCAAATGACAGGTGAGCTGCATCAGACTTTCGACACTCCCTGCAGGATTTGGCCTCGAGCATTGCTGCAGGGGCGTCGGTGCTCCCACTGGTGTGGGTAGGATGAGTGCCATTCCCACAACCATACCGCAGCCATGGGGAGGTCAGGGCCAAGTCCTGGAGGGTATTGAGGTTTGTGGTTCCCAGCAACATGGATGAGATGAGGCACCTACACACCTTAGCTAATCTGAGGCTAAATCATGCATCTGAGAGGAGGCTGGGAAGGGAGGATGGATGAAGACAAAGGGTTGGCTCTGCAGATGGAGCATGGTCTCTCTCTCTGGGAGTTTGGGGCTCACAGAGATGCTATAAGGTGTAGAATGCTTGGGAAGGGGCCCTTCTGACTGGTGTCATGCTGTTTTGACTGGCATCAATGTGCTCCCTTAATATGGGACATCTGCACAACCTGTGATGCTCCTGAGCATGGCCCAGAAAGGACTTTGAAGGTCTCACCATATTTTTTTTTGTCATGGGTGGAAGAAATTAGGTAGGACCAAGGTGGACCTGGCCCATCTGGAGACCTGAGCAACCACAGCTGGGTGCAGAGCAGGGTGCTGCTGAGACTGAATCCCTGTGCTGAATCCTGGTCCCATGGGAATCAGGCAGAGGAGCAACATGGAGTAAATGGGTTTTGTGCATTGAGGTCTCACTGACAGGGGAGGCTGGAGGCAGGTTGAGGTAGGAAGGAAAGCCTTGATGGCAGTGAAGGGACACATGGGGTGGCATGGATGTCCCAGTGCAGGGAGGCTCATATTGGCTGCACAGGGAGAGGAACTGGAAGCTGGGAAGGGAAATCATCTTAGAGTTGGCAATTATGCCAAGCCCAGAGGACATCCTGACAGCACAGGCTTGGGGACAAGGGTCAGCAATGTCTTTGCTTGAGAACTATTCATAGGCAAACGCAGCTGCGATCCTGATTGCCCTGGAAGCCTTATTAAAAAGTGCTCTGTCCTAGCAGCTGCCAAGAAAACATCCGTTTCTGGGGTGGCTTTCTGTCTCAGTGGGGATGAGTGCTGTCACAGCAGCAGGCCCAAATGCAGACGTTAAGGCGTGAAGCTTTTAATCCCGCACAGCCGCTGGTGGACGAGCATCCTGCCTGCTGTGCTCCTGCTGCATGTGGCCTCCAGACGCAGCAGTTCCCCTCCCCAGAGGATGGAAGCAAGGAGAAAGGCTAGCTATTAATAAAAGACCCTCCAGAACCCATCATGATATCACTGGGAGGTGGGCTGAAGAGTTTTTTGGGAGGATGGCACAGAGTGGCAACAGATAGACAACTCTGCAGCTGGGAAGAGTCTGCAGGATGTTCCCAGCAATAGGCAGCTGGAGAAGGGAAGGGGTGGGTTGGGAGCTCGGCAATAACACCTGGAAGAGTAGAGGAGGGGAGAACTAGTGTCTGATCTGCAGATGTGAGCCAGGAGTGCGTAGGTAGGGGTGTAGGAGGGCTTGGCTGTTGCGACGGGGAAGTTTTTCTCTTTATCTGAAGCCACGGCTGTGCCTCATCCTGCCTCGCTGCCTGTGCTTCTCAGCCATTTGCTTTTTGAGTCTGTCTGCTGAAACTCCTGGTTCTGCCTTGCTCACTTGAAAATTGCCTTCAGATCTGCTCAGGTCAAAAAACTATCACCTAACCAGCAGCTGAGGAATAGCAGAGAATGGGCTCTGCCTGGCTCAGTTCCTTCTGAGCCTTAGGGAAGTGAGGACCCTTTCTCCTTGGTTTTACAGGAGACATAGATGTGGCTCTGCTCTTGTCTGCCCACTTGCTCCAGCCCATGAGGGAATTTGTACAAAGCAGGAAGGATTAAAGCTGATTTTTCCTATGAGCTGCACAATGTTGTCCTGCAATGACATTTGCCCTAGGAAGGAGTTACTCTCCTTTCTTCTGTTTATGTACCAAATACCTGTTCCTCTGTCTTTGTTCTCTGGTTCCTTAATCAGAATTGCCTAGATCTTAACCAAAACGTAGGCAAAGAGCCCCTTCGAGGAGAGAAATCCGGCTGTGCATGACTCTAGAGGGCAACTAGGAATAAACCTCAACATTTCCAAGTCATTAGTGAGCAATGTCTCTGGGCTTCTCCATCTTCTGTAGCCGAGAGGCAGGGACCAGATCCTAGGAGACAGAACTCCAGAGAATGAAACTTCTGGCTAAACCAGCGACAGAAATGATTTACAGCTGCAATAACACACCTTGAGACATGGGTGAGGGCAGAAAACTTGCAAGAAAGGGGGAATTTACTTTCCATGCCCCAGAGAAATCCATTCATTTGACCAGCAGGGCTTGTGAATGAGCCGAGAGCTGCTCTAGCCCCACGGCTTAGGGAGCCTCACCACTTTTGTTTCAGGATTAAACAGCTGGAGGGATGTCTCCACGAAGAATATGTGCAATAACAAAATCATTACTCTCCCTAATTATGCTCGCTAATGTGCACTTATGGCCAGGAGACCTATTCCAGATAAAATCATTACTCTCCCTAATTATGCTCACTAATGTGCACTTATGGCCAGAAGACCTATTCCAGAATACTGAATTTGGTGAATTTATTAGCGAGGAAGCAGCAGAACAGGATTAGAAAACCCAAAGGTATGGTGTTACATAATGCACAGTGCTCACTTATTTTGACAAGCTCAGTTTAGTTTTAATTATTTATGATAATGAACCAAAAAGCCTTCTCTAGGCTGTTTTGTATAAGTAATGGAAGCTTCCTGATATACACCACATGCATCTGCTGTTCAACATTTCCTCAGGAGTTGGACAGAAGACAGGGGGGAAGGGTGCGGGGACGTCACTAATACCCAGACGCTAAAAATACCCATAGTAGTGCCAGAGAAACATACTGCCAGATTGTAGGGTATCATTTGCTACTCGCTCTGCATGCTTGGAATAATTCACTGCATACAAGTGGCAGGCTGTGAAAGACCCTGCAACAGCCAAAGCCACACCATTACGTATCAGTTGTGGCACCCACAATTTACCTACGTTTTGGGTTCCATGCATGATTTTTTTTATAGATTGTTTCTTGCCACAAAGTCACCATTTGTACTTTCTAATGATCTGTGGTCCATTCTGTCTTGTTCCTTAGGCCCTGATGAGGACCGTGTGGCACTACTGCATCGTTGCAGTACCACTGGTGTTTGCCTTCAGCATGCTGGCCACCATCACTGACAGCATCCTCACCAAGGCTGTCCCCTCCTCTGACACTGGTAAGACTCATCATAAAAGATCAGAGTGATATTTTGTGTTTTGAGCCCATCAGGTACTTCCCAGCTCACACCAATGCTATTGATCACTGGAGCACATTCACAGTGAATGCCCAATTCCCCAGGAGACCTGGACAGGCAATGGCATGCGATGGGTGTCAGTGGAGCAGATGAACAGAGACTGGTGGGGCTAATACAGGATGAACTTGAACAACATTGAGCAAGCATCCCATGATCCCTGTCCTGTGCTGCCTGCTGACATCCATCATGGTGGGTGCAGAAAGGGAAAGCTTTTCCAAATTCTTCTCTCCATGGGAAGCCAAGGTTTGTTAATAAGATAAGCTGCTCTTCCACTGTGCCAGTGGCTGAAAGTTCACACTTTTTGATTTAGGGTATCTTAGGAGAAGTATTCTGGATCACCCTTTGCAAACATGATTTGTCTGGTGCAGTAATTGCCCCTCTCTCTTTGTTTTGGCCTTGTTTCAGTCAGAGGGTTACTATATTTCTCCACACAGGGCAGCTGAAATGCAGTGGTAGGCACACAAATCTTTATACCTAGGGTTTTAGTTCTGTCGATGAAGGAAACATACCTACATTATTGTCATGGGAGCCTTGCTGAGTTTGTGCCGGGATGGAGCTGGCTTAACCCGGTTTGACATCTTTTGCTCAAGCTCTCTCAGGGTTTGCTCTCAGAGCTGGTATGAAGAGTCTCTCTGCTTTAGCTGAGCCTTTCTGGGCTGCCAGTCTGCACCCTTCATCTTCTCTAGCAGCTCTCTGATCAGATACCTCAAAATGGGAGTTATAGTTTGCACAGCTCATTAGTGAAGTTTATAAAGCACTTTTGAGATGCTTCTGGGTGAAGAGCTTTTCTGAAAATCACTTCAGTAGTTTATTTGTAGAGCTGACCACCACATCTCCTACAAATGCTGGGAGCCTGCGGTTTCCAAATGTGATACTTCTACCTGGAAGTACTACTACTTAGTTCCCAGAGAGGTACGGACTGGAGATGTCTCAGTCCCTCTGCTCATCCAGGAAGAAAAATTGCTGTTTCATGAGTTGGAGTAATGTTCATGTGAGGGAGAGCCAGGGGGGAAGGGCAACAAGTGTCTGTGGGATATACGACCAAGCTGGAATTCATTCAGATTCTTCTCAAAGGGGTTTTGTGAGGAAAACCGGAGCATTGCTTGGCTTTTAAAGCCTGGAGGCAAGCTTCTGTCAGAGAGGAAAATGGGTTTAGTTGCCTCACCCTGTTCCCTGCTTGCATATGTTGTTAGTTAGGGCAGCCTGTGCCTCGGTGGGATGGAGGGTCCCTGTGTGGCAGGCCAGTATTGCAGGGCAGGATGGAGGGAGCTCACAGAGCTGCACAGATGGTCAGGAGACGTTTGCAGGTCATCAGGGGAGCCATGGGCTCTCAGGGGCTTTCTTCTGCCCCATCCATCCTGGGCTGTTGTTGTGCCAAGTGCTTCTTAAACTGCAGAGTTACAGCTGGCTCAAAACTGGGCATGCCAAGGAGAGACACTCTGGCATGGAGGATTGGGAGAAAACCTTGTCTCAGCCACTCCTCCCTGGCCTTTGCCTTTCAAACCATGCTTTTTCCTTGCAACATTTCTGAGGGAAGAGGCACCTGATGGTTTTGTGCTTGTTTTGGAT